ACGAAAGCTTATTTAAAATCTAAGAACGTTTGATCTTTTTTTTTAAAAAATAAAATAATATTAATACTTGGAGAATGTATTCCATCGCATACGATCAATATATCCCCTTTTCTCTCGTTCCGTCTTTAAAGATTGCCCAAACTTCATCGTTAACTCCATCGTATCCAATACATTTCTTTCCCCATTGCATATTCACTCCTTCTAACATCAAATCCCTTAATATATCTCTAAAAGCATAAGCGTTAGAATTAGAAACATTTGCAAGTACAAATAAAGATTTAACTTTTGCTGAGTCCACTCTTAATAATTCGGTTCCTTTATCATCACTCAATAATATCTCACGATTTTCTTTTTCGGAGATTGGAATTGGAATAACTTCGGGAAGACGAGTTACAAGAGACTCCGAAAGACAAGACATTAATGATCTCATTCCATGAGAGTTAATGGACACAGCAAATCCTTGCCATGGATCTAATTAAGAAAAAAAATGATAAAAAATTATTCGCTTTTATTTAAAAAACCAATCAACTTTGATTATATACCACGTGGACCTCAGACGTTTCTGAATTCCATGATAAAGTAATAATCCATCAGGTCCTCCATCAATAATTATAATTGTAGGGGTATGATTATTTTGCATTTTTAGGAAAAAAAAAAAGAGGATTGTATATATACATATACAGTATAATATTTTTTGCTTACATAACGATAATCTTTTAACCTAAATTTGGTTAGATTGAATAAACTAGCGCAGCAATTATTTTTGTCCTTTCATTTCCGGTGTTAGTCACAAATCGTACTGCGTCTCAGATGATCACACAACATGACACGTGTGAAACTTGGGTCACTTGTATAACATGTATCGAACAATTTACTTTTCTACTTTTTATTACGTAGTATAGAACTAGTTAGCAATTTTATATAAATAGACCTTGATTCGACAGAATTCTAATAAGTCTTGGGACTAGACTTACTAACTCTACAGACTAATAAAGTTACTATTTTACACTTTCATCCTTCTTGCCTTCATTACAGGATTGATCGTGATAACCTACTACACGAGTGAATTGTGATAATAAATCGTTTTGTTTGTTAATCGTTAATTACTCTTAGAAAAGGCCTTCGAAATAATTTTAAATTGGTTAGCTTGAATTCGGTACAATTCCATGTCTAACACCGGATTGATCACTTCTGGTCGGAAAGTTTTACGTAGAATCAGGGAATCAATTTATATTTTTTTTTTTTTGTTGTTTTTTATTTAAGGTCCATTTTTCAAATATGATCCATTTCATGATTTTTTTGTGAAAATTAATTTCGGTTATTGAATATACAACCATCGATAACAAAGATTTTTTTAAACTATCATTATTATTTTTTTTTTACAGGATTCGATGTACAAATTTCCTTTTAATAAAAAAGATTCGTGAACTTGAAAACGATTACTATTGATAAATCTAATCAGAAAAATTCGATTGTTAGTTTAAAGTTTATATTATGCAATATATGTCTGGCATAATTCGATCCAGTTGCTTCATAATAGAAGTTTTTTAAATAAAAACCAAACCAAAAAAAAAATATTAAGGGACTAGAATTTTCTTATTTTATCTTTATTTATTTTTTTTTTATCGATAATAGAAATTAAATATTGATCAATTGCAAATTAAAGATATTTAATATTTTGAATGAAATACATTACGAATAACGTGTAGCTAAGAGGTAAACATTAACACATTTTTTTATTTTGAGACATTGTTAACCGGGGTTTGTTTGCTTCCAATGATCAACAACTTGCTAGAATTTTAAAAGAAATAAATCGAATGAAAATAAATCCTTACATTTTAATTTAGATTTTCTCTTGAATTTATTGTAATACTGTTTGTATAAGGTCAACCTGATTTACATTTGATATTATATGATGATAAATTAATTTCATCTGAAGGGAAGTTAGATGTTATGATGATAAGAATTATTGCAAATATGGAGTTATCGTACAAGAAGGATATTATATGGTAAATTTTAAAACCGAAAAATGTTTAATGTACAGTAGATTTCGTAATATTTGTAAATATGTTCACGCAGATAATCTTTATTCTGACGTGTTGATGATTCTGCTTCTCTAATTAACAAAACAAAAATTAATTGTAGATAAATTGATGAAACTCAAGAAGAATAAATTTTAATGAAGCTTTTTTTCTGAAAATCAAAGGTTAGAAGAAATATATCGGTGTATATTCTAAAAAAAGAAAATTTTTTTTTTTGTAGAATCAAAAGTCTGTTATTATTATCTGAAGAGACCTTTGAAACCTTGCCACAATTTGCCAATTTGTTTTAAAAATTTTCGTAAATATTCAACTTTTTTATAATTTTCAATCTTTACACTAATAAAAATTGTCTTTTTTAGCTGAATTATAATATTACGTATATTTTCGTTAATTAGCAAAATTAAAGGGCAGAATATAATAGAAGCACGATCCCGTAGGCAAGAAATATATTAATATGGATTGTAACTGTAATTGCATGAATTTTGGATGCTGCTTTAACGAGAATTTAAAACTCGTCATTTTATTTCTTAGCATGATATTTTGAAAGAAAATTACATTTTTTTTTTTAAAAAAAATGGCTGCTGCTGCAATTAACTGTGCATCATTATTCATTACAATCTTTTTTATCTAATATTAATAACGAAGGATATCTCATCAAACGAATATTTCATGGTCTCAAATTTAAGCAACCTATTGGATTCTGTAAAATTAAAATACTTTGAAGGGCTAGAGTGAAACAACTTACAATTACGCAATAAGTAATTATCCGCTAGTAATAATTAGTATTTTGATTTCTTTCTTTTAGGAATTTACAAGGAAAGTTGTATGAATAAACTAAATAACAATTATAATTAAAATTTTGAATCTATTATAATATAAACGGTATGACGAATGAAATTGAGTACATTTGTGAATTCAATAAAATTATTACTAATTATAAAATTATTTACGGTAAATATTTAATTTATTTTAACTCTTTAGAAGATTGTATACTTAGCGAAATGATTGCACTTGGTCTGAGATAAGAGAAAAAGAAAGAATCAACATAATCAGTAAGATGTTTAGGAAATTTAATGAGATGATGACCCAAACTTTCAAGAAATATAATACAGACCCCCGCCAAAAGTCTCCGAACGCTTTTTGGCTCAATGTAAAACTTAAAATTTTAAGTTTATTAAAAAAATTTATTAATTTATTTATTATGTACGATATGCTACACATTTGGTACTAAATAATTAGTACTTGGTCAGGCCTTTATTTGCTTCATCACAGCCCGAATTCGCTGCGACAAATCGCTTCAGCCGGCTTCGCTGCGAATCTTTAATT